ACGGCACGTGTGCCCATACCCATTCACAACATCCAGTACATAATTCACATCATTTCCTTGCATCCAATGGCAACCAACACAAGCACATCACTCAATTTCACACAATATGCCGGAGGTCAGACACCTCCGGACTCAACCCAATTCATACAATTCATCAATACACATAACCTCATCTCCTATTTCCATCATATTACTATATTCGTTCAAATAAACTCATTCCTAACAAAGATAACTAAAGTAAAGTACTCCCCATACCTCAAAAACGAAGACCCGACATGAAACATTGATGGAATTGCTTCCCCATACAGATTTCGTCCCTAAAGCACACAGAAATTCCAAGGGAACTTAAGGAAAACCTCAGAAAATGAAAGTAAGGGACGAAAACCAAAACCCTAGCCATAAAACTCACCTCCAAGAGCTTCAAACACTTCCCCAATCCTCAATCTAGCTTCCAATCGGTCTTGGAGGGCTTTTAATCGGTAGGAATGGGTTTGGGTAGAGAGAATCATGAAGGAGAGAGAGGGAAATCGTGAAAATAACCCTCTTCTTGAACCCTAACCCTTCAAATACCCCTCTGGTTGCAACACCCTTGCTACAGCGAAAAAACAGAGAAAACTGCACTTTGGTTTCTGCAGAATCTCGCTATAACAAGACCCTCTCGCTACAGCGAGATGTCTCTTGCTACAGCGAGAAGGCAACAGTTCTGGCCCTTCCTCCCAGAGCCTTCTCGCTGCAGCGAGAATAGCTTAGTATCTCGCCATGCACTCAGCCCAATCCAAACAATCATACATATATATACATACATACACACACACACATGAATATACATTTAGATATATATATATATATATATATATATAATTATCAAAACTAATATTACAAAATTCGGGGTGTTACAATTACAGTCTAATTTGTCATAATTAATAATTGTTATTAATACCACTAATACCACAGTGTCATCATCACTCTCTTTACTATTATTATTACTACAATAAATGTGTTACCACAACCTAATCACTAGTCGCAGTATCCTTGCTATGCATAATCATCGAAGTCAATACTATTATTACTATCGTTCTCATTACTATTATTATTTTACCACCATTGTTATTATAATCGTCATCACTACCACTATCATTACCACAATCGTCTTCCACCACTATTATTACTATTGTTCTCGTTACTATTAGTATTAGCACCATTATTATTATAATCGTCATCACCACCATTATCACTACAATAATTATCTCCCACCAGTATCATTACTACAACTCCGGTCACCCCACCACTACTATTGATGTTACTTACACCATTAGCATACGTAACAATAATGTCACTAATATTATGGTCATAATTGTTATTACCACCATTGTCATTATTAGAATTGCAACCACTATTATTTTAAAGGAAAAGTTTACTTTACCTTCATATATGTTTGATTATATGCAATTTAACCTCTGACTTTTAAAAGTGTGCAATACGACACCTATACTTATGAAAGTGTGAAAATAAATTCTTCTGTTACTTAGACATTCATTTTTTTCGTTTTTGGACAATAATGCCTTCAAATCCCTAATCTCTTCTCTCTCTCTGTAATGACAGAACATTTTTAGAGGTACTTTTGTATAAAAAAAATAACAAAAATAGAGAAATTAAGTGTTTAAACATGACTTATTCACACTTTCAAAAAATATAGGGTGTGACATTACAAACTTTTAAAAGTTAAAGTTTAAATTGCCCATGACCTAATATATAGAGGCTAAATATATTTTTTCTTGTTACAATTGTTATGAATATTACCACAAGTGTCACTAACTCCAATTACAATACTACTAATGTTGTCATTATTTTTTAAAGTTTTTAATTATCATTTAATTTGTTAGTATGATAATTGTAATTTTTTAAAGAAAAATAAAATGATGACAAAAAATATTTTTGAGGGACTAATATAATGACAAATTAAATATTTGAAAAGTTTAATAATACCATATTAAAGTGATGAGAAAAGAAACTTTAACTTGTGATAACAATTTTACATACTTTACCTTATTATCAGCACATAATTTTAGAAAAATGAATTGAAAGTTTATTTTTATTGTTTGTATTCATGTATCTTTAAAACTTTTCAATTTTTATGAAGCACGTAGTTTAATATTTCACTTTTATAAATTTAATATTTTATTTTTAAAAATAGGATAAATTTCTTATATTTACTATTTTTTCAATTTGATTACCAATATTCATCGTATGTGAATTAATAAAATTTAATATTTTTCTCTCTATTTTAATAAATTAAAGTTGTTTGTCTCAAGGACAATTTGAAAGGTCATTAATGTTTCAAGCTAAATACTAAAATAAATTGAAAGATACAAACATGTGATAAAATGTCATATTACATTTAATTTTACATTATTATTATTATTTCTTTATCATTTTAATTTGATTAATTTAGAAGCAGAAACTTCTCAATAGTTTAGAATTTTTTTAAAATTCTTAAAAACTACTTCTACGTAGTCAAAGTATAGAGCATTATTTACATGACTTTACTTTTTTCACCAATCACGATATTGTGCAAAAAAGTGTTCAATTTATTATAATATTACAAAATTAACTAACTTTTGAGAATTTAATAATTTTAAACTTAAAAATAATTTTAAAAAATCATATAAAATAATGAAGTGACTAATTAAAATATGAACTAAATTACTATTAATCACATAAAAGTGAATCAATAACCCTTTCAAATTTAAAGGAATCTTAAAATTTACTTAACTTTTATAACTTATTTCTTTTTTACGTTAACACTTGTAAATTATAGTTTAATTATATTAATCTTTATAATTATTTTTTTCTTCACATACTTACGTATCTTTTAACAATAAATAATCATACTCTAAAATAAATAAACAATTTACTACGATAATATTGTTTATAAATTTAGTCTTTAAACTTTATACAAATTAATAGAGTGACAAATGCTAATCGGTGCCTCAATGAAATAGATCAAGAAATTATTAAATAAAAAATTTATTAAAAATTATTTTAAAATGAATTAAAAATTATAACAAAATATTAATAATTATTTTCAATTAAAATTTTTTATTTTATTTTGTAGCTAACACCTTTAAAATGTACACATGCCATGACATGAATATTTTATGTCATGGTACAAGCAAGAATGTAATTATATGTAAATAATTTTTAAGAGTTTTAATTTCATGTTACACCATGTGCTTTGCATGTATATAATAAAAAGCTAATAGAGCATAATTGTAATTCTACGTAGAGTTTGGATACATAGAACTTTAAAGCATAAAGAAAAGGAGAAAGAATAGTTCTTGAAAGCCAAGTCAATTAGAAGTTGTCATAGATAAACAAAGAAATGCAATATTGATTGGTTGATCATTTCTCTTCTTCTTGGAAAATTAGTAAATAGTATTTTACTATAAGTGATATATCAAAAGTGAAGATTTAAAGTTTCATCTATGAATGAAATAAATGAAGACTTTTTCTCTTTAATCACCTCTATTTTAAGAAATGTTATTCGCTTCTTACTAGAAAGAAAGATTCCTAACAATTATAAGACAACTAATTGCAGTGCAAATGGTTATTGTTGCAAAATAAATTTTGGTGTTACAACAAAACACTTATTATTCTTATACCCACAAAATAGGTTTTCATAGAAAGAACAAGAACATTGATATCATAACTATTGATTGATTAATAATCTCAACAACCTAAGTACAAAATACTTATATAAAAATTCCTTAAACTTTTTTTTCTCCCTTTTTACACTGTTCGTTATGTTTTGGTGATGACAAATTGTGTTAGTCATGTAGTTAAATTCTTATGTAAGAGATTTATGAATCTCTTATGCATGTTGAGATATGTAAACTATTATATTTTTTTAATTAATTATTAATGAATTTATATTCTTTGTAATTTTATTTAGTTGTCTAATCATTAGTTTAATTGATTTGAAAAAAGATCTAATTAAACTAGACAATAAAAATTGAATTTTAAACTATAAAGATGAGTAATGCATGTTTGTTTTTATCTAATTTATGAATAGATTAATTAACCAATAAAAATATACAAATTTACTTTACATCTTATAAAGTGGATTATAGGATGTTTAAGCATGATTATGGTGTGAATTTTTATTATATTATATGATATTTTTACAATTGCTAACTCTAATGAGTAAAAAGTATTTATCATTGTTATAAAATAATGATAGTAAGTTAAGAATTAGTTAAAAGTTAGTTAGTTTCATGTATTATTTTTCTTAAATAATAAGTTGTTAGAATAAACACCAAACTAAAAATTTATAATTCTATCTGTATTCTTCTCTCTCTTATCAATAAAGATTTGAAATCTTTTTTTTTCTAGATTTCCTTATTCTTGTATGTTCTTCGTGTTTTTGTAGTATCCAAAACTAGCTTCTTCTATAACAATTGGGATGACCAATTATTCTTATATTTTTTGTTATATATAAAAAAATTGATTTTAAAATTTTAAAAGATCATATATGTACTAGTTAAACTTCATTGTCTAATATTATTTTTTTATTTCATTTTAAACCTAATATATATTAATTAAAATTAATTAAATATAAAAGAGAAATTAAAACAAGTAAACAACAAAAAAATAAATTTGATATTAATCATGTAAACAAAGCTTTAGTCTGTAAAACAAAAGTATAACAAATTATTGTTTATCAGAGTGAAACTGAAATTTTATTTTTAACATTGAATGCATTTTTTTTTTATCAAAATAAATAATTTTTACCATGATTTAAAACAACACTTTAAATATTTGTAAATATAAACTTTACTTAAATTTATTGAAAATTTATATTGCTAGAGTATAATTGACATACGGAAAGTGGCTGCAGATGGGTGATATCATACAATATAGTTAGCCATTCGTTTGAGAGGATGGGGATTGAGGGGGCCCACTGATATCACTACCAATGTGTTGTATTCTATCATCTCATCGGTGAGGATTTCTATCGCTAAAGCCTACAAATAAACGAAAAAAAGGGTTTTATTTGGTTTTCGTTTTGTTCATCCTTGCACGCTTCGTTCCTCTCTCTCTGTCACTCAGATTCAGGTTCCAACTTCTCTTCTCCTTCGCCGTTTAGGTTTCTGTTTGAAAATTTCGAAGCTCTGGTTTTCTCTCAATTCGAATCTGCGATTTTCAGTAGCCTTTTTTTTAACATCTCTTTGCGTTTCCTTCAGCAAATTCTATTTATTCTCTCATGGCTTCAGATTCCAAAAAGGATTTTCCAGCTGGTATGTACCGTCTCTTTGCTCTGTATTCGTAGATTTCTCGACGTAATAATTATAATAATAGTTATTGGATTGTTTTTCCCATCTGGTCTAAATTTTAACCTCGATCTCAATCTATGCTTATTTGTCTCTCTCTATATAAGATGTGTGAACTTTGAATTGAAGCATCGTGCTTGTCGAATCGAAATTTGAATACCATCTTGGTGTTTTCAAGCTAGATAATTATGAAATTATCCTCATACATGACTTTTACCTGTATTTAATATTTATATTTATGTATGAATGCAACGTGCAGCATTTGTACCCTTTATTCTTTACTTTGGGTGTACTGCACGTAGCTTTTTTTTTTTTCTTTTCTGAAATAAATTAAATATCACTTTCCCAATCCTGCAATGATCTCACAATAAAGTTTTTTTATTTATTCATGTGACTTTAAAATATAGCTGCTTCCGTGTAAATCAGAACAATAAGGGGTGCATTGTTTTTCACACTGTGGTTACTCCTGTTCCCATTTTCATTTGCTTCTCAAAAAGGTTTGGATAGGGATGTAGGCACGACAAAGAGTAAAAGTTGATGTCCTGGTCCCGGAAATTTGAAGTTGCATTATTCTATAAATACTTGCTCTTTGAAGCTTTGCTTAATGAGTCCTGGCTAAAACACTATTGTTGTTGCACTTATCGTCACAAGTGTATCTGTATCACACTACTGGCACTCACGAGGTTAGCATTTACATTGGCCTCCTTTTCCTTGTAGAACAAATCATTATTTAACGGTTCTGTTTTTTATCTGCTTATTGGTGCTTTCTTTGTTTGATTTACTCCTGAATTATTTTTACTTTTGTGCCCATCATTTATATTTATATGTATATATATTTTAATTTTGTTTTAACTTTTAGTGTCAGCATGTAGCTGTTATAGTTTCTTGAATCTTGAAACTGCATTATTTTCACACATGTTGAGATTTTCTTAGATGACAAAGCTGGTACAGCAGAGAATAAAACTTCCAAAGATGAAACATCCCCTAAAGATTCGCAAGCAGGACAAAGAGCTACTTCTGGACCTGCAACTGGGTTTCCAGGCAACCCTTTTGATTTCTCAGCAATGTCTGGTCTGCTCAATGTAAATCACGATCTCCATTGTTTTTCTTATTTGTATTAGATGTGTAATGTCTGTGTATTTATTGATAATTAGGCCATGTTAGTTATTAATGACATTGAGCATGTTTGCATGCACTTTATGAGCAAATACCATCTTATAGATATTGATGTTTTTATTCATGCATGCATGTTTTCTTAGTGGTGCTTTGGATTTTGAGAATATGGTTGGACAATGAAGCCAAGTTTCATGAAAAAAAATAATCAGAAAATTGTCAGAGATCTTAACTGCTGACTGTGAGACTTAAATAGGATTGTATTTGTCTTTTCCTTCAAAGCTTTATCAAGCATGAGACTAGAGGAGTGAGCCTTTTGTATTGGTTGCTGATTTGGAAAAGATTGTGGCTGATAGTATCTATCTTTGAATTAATCTTTTAAGGCCTGTCTATTGGAATCTGTTGTTGAAAAATTAAAATGAGAAGCATTTAATGGCATTTAAGCTCATGGTATGGTTTGACTTGAGTCTTCCCTTTTTCATTTTTTACTCTCAAGGGAATGATGTTTGTCATATGTTTTGAGTTGACTCTCAATTTCTAATCTATATTGATATTTTTTCACATAGGCTTTCTAATGCTTAAATGTGAAATGCATAGGATCCTAGTATCAAGGAGTTGGCTGAACAAATAGCAAAAGATCCATCATTCAATCAGATGGCTGACCAGCTTCAGAAAACTTTTAAAGGAGCTACACAGGATGGTATCCCTAACTTTGATAATCAGCAATACTTTGCAACCATGCAACAGGTCATGCAGAATCCTAATTTTATGACTATGGCTGAGCGCCTGGGTAATGCATTGATGCAGGTATTTTGTTAATTTCTCCCATTTGTTTTTGTTTCATCACTGTCATGAAAATTCTACTGTTGACAGAATATATATGCTGTCTATTATAGGATCCATCTATGTCTTCCATGCTTGAAAGTTTTGCTAATCCATCAAATAAAGATCAGCTTGAGGAGAGAATGGCACGCATCAAAGAAGATCCATCTTTGAAACATATTTTAGAGGAGATAGAGACTGGTGGTCCTGCTGCTATGATGAGGTTTAGAAGCTGAAGAATTATTTTATATTATCTTTAACTGTTTTGATGTTTCCATATTTCCACCATAATATGTTGTTGTCAAGTAACTTCTGAGGTAATTCTTTTAATTCAGGTACTGGAATGATGAGGATGTTTTGCGGAAGTTGGGACAAGCCATGGGTCTTGCAAATTCTGGAGAAGCAGCTGCTTCTGCTGAAAATTCTGGGGTAGATGAGACAGAAGATGTGGGAAATGAAGATGAATCAATTGTTCATCATACTGCTAGTGTTGGTGATGTGGAGGTGTGGCATGCACTATTTTTATACATACATATGCTCTTAAATCTATTCTCTTTTTGAAAGAAATCATAAATTTTTACTCTAGGTTGAAGAATTGAAGTTATTCTGATGAAACGGTGAAAGTGAAATGTTTAGGTGTGCTTGTGCATGTAACCATTTTAGCTAGAAGGTGCTAATGTGGAACTCATGAATTAGATTAAGTTCATGGGGAACTTGAAGAAATGATACCTTGCTTTGAGTGTAATGAGTTGTCTAATTATTGGGATTGAATCTTTTGGATCCTGCATGAATTGTCTAACAAAGATTCAAGTTGAGCCACAGTCAAGTAATTCAATTTTTGCAACTAGTGTTCTGTAGTGGGATGGATTATCAAATATTTCAACTTCAGCTTTTGAAAACTTGCCATCAGGATTCTTTGGAACCTGGAGTATCTACCAGTATAGCTTCTAGAATACTAGTTTCTCAGACAAATTAATTACATATGCTTTTCCTGGCAAATAAAATCCTTAGTTTGAAACAGCTACCTGTATACCCAACTGTATCCAAGTTTACCAAGGTCCTTGGTATAAAAAGGTATAAAACTACTGGCTACTTTTATATCCAACTGTTTTTTGAGGTTTGCAATTCCCTTCCTGTCATCACTTATAATAAGTGATAACAATATGATCCACATTGAGTACAAGTACTATAGTACCATTTTATGTTTGTGGCTTATAAAAATAAAGTGATCTGCAACAGTCTTATCAAAAATTAGACCACATTTTTGTTAAATATTTTGAAGCAATTTCGTGTAGATTTTAGGCCATGAATAGACCTTCTCAATTGACTTACATTCCATACTCTTAAATTTTCAGTTCCCCATAATTAAAATGATAAGGAATTTTCTGAATTGGAGTCTCTTTTGTCTATATTTCTGAGAATTTAGCTTTTAACCAAGATCAACTCTAAAAATTTCTCTCTTTTTCCTTTCATGTGACTTGCATCTCTCTCCATGTTTCAATGCCTCTCTCTTCTTCGTTATCTCTGTTCTTCCTTGCAGACACTAGCAGGGGAAATCGCGGCTTTTCGCATGCTTCTTGGGTGCTATTGTGAGAACTTTTGAAAACCAAAAAATGTACTGAATTTTTAATGTTGCAGAACCATGTATCGCGGAGTATTTTTTGGGTGGGTGGGTGGAAACTAAAAAATGGCTTTGAAATGGGTTTTAAAAAACTGATTGTGCCTCCACATTTTTGCACCCTCTTTTCTTTGACCTTTTAGTATTGTGCGACCCATCAATCCCCTACCCTACGGTAATTTTCCAGTGAATTGCTTGTGTTTTCCCGCCAGTTTCTAGTGTTTTTGGCAGACTATTGTTTTTTGACCCTTGTTCTACATTTTCTGCCAAGTGCTTTGTTTTTTTCTTTATGTTTTGCTATTGTTTGGCAAGCTCTTCTCCCCTCGTTGCCTGTTTCTTTTTTTGTTCTTAGCTGTCAAGTGCTCTGTTTTGCCATAGGTTTCAGTTTCCAGCTACTTTGTTCTTTTATTTATTTTGTCTAAGTCTTTCCTCATTCAGTTCTAATTTTATTTGACTTTCAATGTTTTGTTACTTTAAAAGCATTGAGTTGGAGGCTTAAACTTATTTATTTCCTTGACTTTTATTGTCATATGCTTAAATTTATTGTCTAAACCTCATTATATCAGCTTTCCTTGACATTCCTTTTTTTTTTTTTTTCCTCAAACCATTTTCCCCTTCGCCATGCTTCTGCCATTCACGATTGATAACATTGCCTACATAAGCATTTTATGCGTGATTTGTGCTTATTCAGAATTAGATCCTCACTTGTTCTGTTATTATTTTAATTCTTTGTGGAATAGATTGTCCAGATATTTGGTCTAAGGGACTAAGTGTTACCCCAGCTCTATAGATCAATTTGGTTTAGTGGTTTTCTTGTAGAAGTAAAGAGGCTAATTTTTATGGGATCATGCAATTTATGCTATTACTTGGTGCAGTTGGTTGGAATATAAAACTTGTATTTTCAAGGACATTTTACTGGCTTCTTGTGGTGATTTTGAATAAGATTAGGTGATTTGCTTATATTTGGTGCAAAGCACATGATCTTTTTAAGGGAGCTGCCTTAATAAATTTGTAGAGGGATTCAGTAGCTTTTATCCATTGATATTTTCTCTTTATTGTTGTTATTTTGTTTCCTCTTTTTCCTTAAATATGAAGAATAGCTTATCTTTTGAGTTCTTTGTTGTTTTTACTTCCAGATTTCTTCTTTTATCAATAAAAAACTTCATCTTATAAGGTTTTGGAGAATACGAGTCTAATGAAACTTGTGAAATCATTTCTAGAAAAGGTGGCTTAGAATCTTCTAAATTAAGCTCTACAAGAAACTCTTTTTAAATTTATGGAAATTAACCATTTATTATAGCAGTTGCATTTTGAATTTTGGGTTTTCATGCCCTAGACAAGGCTTGTATGCTTTTCTTTTGTTAATTTCATGTTTTTAAACAGAACATTGTTAATTTTGTTCAGTTTTGATTTGGTTATTAAGCTTTATGTATCTAGTTATGTAATTCTTAAATTCAGCTATTATTACCATTGGGTTTGATTTGAAATATATGAAGGCTAAAATTTTACAAAATTCAATCAGGGCTTGAAAAATGCACTAGCCTCTGGTGCTGACAAAGATGAAGAAGATTCAGAGGGAAGAACTGCTTTGCATTTTGCATGTGGATATGGCGAGGTATGCTAATATTCTCAGAAAAAATATTTTCTGGTCTTTTATAGGTTACTTTTTGCTTCTTTGAATTTCTGCTTAATGTTGGGTGGTTGCCTTGGCTTTGTTTAAAACATGGTGCGAAGGAAATGAAGGATGCCTTAAGGCTCAGAATGTTATTTAGTAAAATTCTGTAGCTTTGATTGTTTCTTCCACTGTGGTGGGTATAGGGTGAGATTCAATTTCTGAATCATTGCTGAAATTAGGGGTGAGTATGGGTTGGGTTTATTGACATGACCATTGGATGCATCTGAAATTTCCTACTGTCTGACTTCTCTTTGGGTAATGGAGAAGCTATTTTAGTTAAAAAAAAAAAAACACAACAGAAAATGACAATATGCATTGGGAGGTTTGGATGGGTTGCAGATTGGAGAAGAAAGCACAAGAACAATGAGGGATGCAGTTGGAATGAGGAGATGAAGTGCAAGTAAAAAAGTTTATGTGTAAGGTTTGTTTGGAATCAGCTGCCTATTAATTTTTTTCATTGGCAGGCAGGTACTTTCTTGGTGAATAATCTGCTCTGCAATCTTGGTCAATACTGGGTGTGTTCTTCCAGCTTGGGCTTTGGAGCATATTTATGTGATATGTTTTAACAATTTTGAAAAGTGATGAGCATACAACTAAACATAAAATTACAAAGGGACTACTGAGAGACATATCATTCTTTGCTTCGTTGTCAGTGTCGTGAGTGTGAATAGAAAAATGGTAACAAGATTTGAATCCATCTAGTTTGCTGAATGCTTTGCAATTTTAAATGCATTTTTTCACCCTTAGGCTTTGTTTGGATGCGAGGTGAAATAGAAAGAAAGGAAATAGAGGAGAAAGAAATAACAGGATGAGAAATAGAGTGGAAATAGAGTGAACAATATTTGATATTTGGATGAGTTGAAATAGGACGGAAGAAAATGATAAAAAATTCCTTCCATTTTTTGGATGAATAAGAGTGTAGAAAAAAATAATTGAATTGTGTTAAGAATATTCATAAAAGAATACAATTGAGTTAAAAAATTTGAATTTTCTTATTTTAATTTTTTTCTTAATAAAATTTATTTTAATTTTTGTATAATTTTTATGTTATTTTAATTTTTTAAATGAAAATTAAAAAATAATTCCTTAGTCATCCCCCTCCCCTGTTCATTTCTGCAGCTCTTTGGGTTTTTCCTTTTTTGTGGGACCCACAGAAAAACCCTTGTTCCTCCCTACCCTCGTCCAAACGTGGAAATTTTTAATTTCCCCTCCACTTCCTTCCCTACCGTATTTCACCCCAATCCAAACAGCACCTTAATTATTTTATGGGGCAGCTTTCATTTGGTCTTTTTAGACATGGTTATTATCAACCTCTGTTGCTGTAATTTTCCCTTTTGATTACACTCAAAAGTCTTTTCTCATTAGGTGTGATTAGTATGTGGATTGAACAATGCATTTTGTTCTTTCAATTTATTATTCAAATGAAAAAGAAAATTGGGCGTAGTTCAATATCAATTCATGTTATGGAGAACCATGATGCCAACACAAGTAAAGTGGCTTTGGTGGTTCATTGTATTTTTTGGAATAATGTTCAGATTCCACACAAAATATTGGTACTGTGGAGATAACAGTTGCAATTGTGGAAATGTTGATGTTTAACAATACTGGCAGTAATGGTGGGGGAAAGTTGCAATGGCTCTGGTGGTAACATTGATGGTAGTGGTGTTGATGATGGATAGTGGCAATGATAGCTGTAATGGTGGGGGGTGGACTGAAGAGTGGCAACGGTGGCAATGTGAATGGATAGTACTATTTGGGTACTCCTGCAAGCATCGTGAAAACTCATCAGGAAGTATAATTTGAATCCTTACTAGGCGCTTTTTAATGATATCATTTCAGGTGAAATGTGCTCAAGTTCTACTTGAGGCTGGAGCGAAAGTCGATGCTTTGGATAAGAATAAGAACACTGCTCTTCATTATGCAGCTGGTTATGGCAGGAAGGACTGTGTGGCTCTTCTCCTTGAAAATGGTGCTGCCGTGTAAGTAGCCTTTTCATCTTGTGTTGTGAAAACTACCAAATATTCATACCGGTGCTTCAAAAACCATATAGTTACTATTGGTGCTTAATTAGATTTTAGTATGCATTGTTTATTCTTTTTCCCTCCTTCAATTTGCAGTACTCTCCAGAATATGGACGGGAAAACTCCTATAGATGTTGCCAAGCTAAACAATCAAAATGAAGTCCTGAAGCTACTCGAGAAAGATGCTTTCCTGTAGTTGTAATGCATGTTCCCATGCTGTCACCAACAGGCAAGGGGGTTACTGAGGGAAAATAGAAGGCATACATTTGACTTTATTTTTCTTTTGGTTTCTTCTAAGCGTTTAGTGTGTTAAACCAAATTCGCTTAACGGTGTTGGATGCGAGTTACCATAGAATTTCTTATCTATGTTCTTGTAATGCATTGATTGTTACACTGCATGATTTTGAAGATTAGTGCCGTCATGATTTTACTTCATGCTTCAATTTTACAAATAGTAAATTATTTTGTCGCAAAATTCTGGTTCAAGTGGTTTCGCGTTCATATAATAAGCTAAAATTAAAGGCGAGAACAAAACATCGGCCGAAGTTGGAAGGTTTTGATCGAGGTGACCGAATTGCCTACATCAAAACTTGAATTTCTTTCCCTTTGTTGATACTTTAGTACAGTTAGAGGGACTTGGAATGTAACGAGAATGGTTTAAACCCGTCACATGCAAAAATCACAACCCTGAACAACCCCCGGCCCCCCCCCCCCCCCCCAAAAAAAAAAGGAAACTTGAATTTAAAAACTTAAAATTTCTTTTTATTTTCCTCCTCCGAACGTGTTGCGTACTCATCCTACTGATGCCATGTCATTTTTCCCTCGTTTATTGATACTACCTGACTTGAAAACTGGTCAAATCGATCAAAGGGTAGTGTTAATTCTTATATCTGATTTTATATCTGTCCTTGTTAATTCTTAGAAGCTGTAGTGTTATGCGTAATGCCATTTCCGTTTGAGGACAACATACATATCCTCGCAAGTCAAATTTGCTTACAACAGGTCCAAACTAAAATTTCCCAATATAAAGTTTCATGCAAATTTCATCACGAGATCACGGTCTTTAGGTTTGGGGTTAGACGGAGGAGGCTGTAAGGATGCAGTTTAGGAGTTGAACACAATCAAGGAGTCCAAATTTTGTGCTTTAGGAAATCATGCCTTAAGTTGTAAACACAAGAGTTAAGCTTTGATGTGTACAGACTTTTAGGCAATGATTCTATGGCTAACTAATCTAAACAATGTTTTTATTAATCTTTCACGTGTCGAATATATTTATATCTTACATCTATAATAAATCAAGCAACTAATCAGCTTTCTTTAATGGCTTCTCCGAGTTTAATAGGCAAATCAAGTTAATGACATTACTAAATTATGTCTAACAATGAAATCAATTATATTTTCTTCTCCTTAACTTAGATTTGCATAATGACTCCTGGACTTGAATGGCCACTTGGACTAATAGATAACCAACAATGCACTTAGTTAACGACACTGGACAGAGAAAAGTCTTAATTTGATGACAAAGGCGTGAAATCTAAGGGCTGGAAAAGATTTTATCTCCCATAGTTCGAGGTTCATGCATTTATGAATTGTCTATTTACGAATTGTCTTCAAAATAGTGTTCAAATACTAGAGCATAACCATTAAAAATAATATAAAATTAATCTTTAATTAAAAAGTTTTTCAATCATTAAAATTCAATTAGACCTTTAGCCTCTTAGTGAGTTATTTTTATCTTTGGGTCTCTCATTAGTAAGATTCTCCTGACTGGTTTAGTCTTGTAAGGACCCCTAACCTACTAAAAGATAAGCCAACCATCTTCTTTGCGCTGCTCAAATGAAAGATAAGATTCATATTTTAAAACCTAAAACAAATGAAGTACAAAAGATAGATGAAGAGAATTTCAGTTCGTTCGAGCCTTTTTCTTATGCATTTGAAGACCTAATGTGTAGTGACGACACGAATGATTTAGTTGCTCAAGTTCTCCGAGTTGACAACCACAATAACAAAAAAGAAAAAAAAAAAGTAACAACAACAATCTTTAATGCTTACTAAGTTTACAATGAATTTTGTAATGAGTAAATAAATAAATTCAAGAGCAATGTGGGGAATTGAATTTTAGATCCTTCTTAAATTCTTTTAAGTGTGTTTTTGACATAATAATCGAATCAACGTCCTAATGCAAAGAATTAAATAGAAAGAGCATAATTACAATGAAATAATATTGAAACAAACTTGGATTTAAACAAATTGTAAAATTGTAAACGTACAACTTTCACAACAAACACTGAGAACTGTTGAATCTTCTAGTTGTCGGGTCTAACTCAATGTAAAATGTAAACTTTCGCAACCACTTCTCACATGTTTTTGTATAACTGTTTGTACTTTGTCGCACATGATCTGCTTTACGCATTTTGTTCTTCAACTGGTGATAATTGCTGGTAAACCACTAGTAACCTTTGACAATTGCTCTAAGACTCGCTGCTTTTTGACATATTTGTAATGCCCCAGATTTTGTAAATAATATTTTAATTACACACACACACACATATATGAGTTGCCATATGTTGGATGTTTGGGTATGTGATGATGATGTGTATTAGATAATGGTAGAAATACATATGTGAGTATGATGTGAATATTAATCTTTGGATTGAGATTGAACATATTTGAATTGTGACTGGGTTGGAATTAATTGAAAATTTGGCTAATTGTGTAATGCAGGGGTGTTCTCGTTGTAGCGAGAAGGCCCTGGGCATGAAGCATGAGTCTGTGTCGTTCTCGTTGCAGTGAGAGAAGTCGCGCTACAGCGAGAGGGCCCTGGGAGAAGGGGGTGATTCTGTTGCATTCTCGCCGTAGCGAGAAGCTCCTCGCTGTAGTGAGAAGGCAAAAGAGATGGGTGCATTTTTGGGTGCAGTTTTGCTGTAGCGAGAGTGTCTCGTTGTCGCGAGATTCTGTAGAAACCAAAGTACAGTTTCTTCTAAAATTTTTGCTGTAGCAAGAAGGGGTGTCGCTGTAGCGAGTCATGCTGTCGTGGAAGTGTCGTGACCAGAAGGGTATTTGAAGGGTTTAGGGTTTGAAAAAAATAATCTTTTCACTTTCCCCTTTGAGATCTCTCTCTGTTCTCTCGATTTCTAACCTATTCTTACTGATTAAATTGCCTCTTGTAACATCCCAAATTTCTGTCTACATGGCAAAGAGTGTTGATTATTAATTAGTGACTCTTTTGTTTGATTTTTAGTACTCTAGTTCAGTTCTTGCTACAACTGTTTAATCATATTATGTTCCCTGCTTGCATAATTATTTCTCCCAGGGTGTGTTTAGTTAATTTCGTATGTGTATGTCTATATGATTATGTGATGAAATTACCTTGACTTAACCAAAGGTTAGTGAGATTAGCCTGGGGGCGAGATAGTCTTTTGAGTCAGATGAATGGACCCTATTTCTTTCGTTCCCCTGATGATTGTTATTAATGTTACATAGTTCTTTTAATTCTTATTATTTGATTGTGTGATATGCTTTCTTAAATTTAAGTGGAACTGCACGTGTAACTTTCTTTATTTATATTGAATGTTCATTAGGTTCTAATAGTGGATGTACTTAAGTCTTTCATTATTCTGGTACCATGTACACTAAGTTAGACCATTAATGAGAGCCACCATCTATTTTTTTTTTACCCTAGAAGTCACGTGTACTACAAAGGGCCCAAGAGGCAAGTTTTAATCTTTCCTCATTTAGTGCTAGTAACTGAAAATTCATTCATGTCCAGGAGGGGGAGAGAATCAAATTTAATAGCCTAGGATTCTAGCCCAAATTAAGTATACTTAATGCAATTCCATTGTTCCAGGTTACCCTAAATAAATACAGCCGCCACCTCTTGGACTGCCATATTTTGATTGGATCTTATTTAAAAACTTTCCTTTTTTTTTATATAGTGCAACCGAAAATTTAAAGCCCCAATCCTCTTCTAGAAGGAAACATTCCATATTCTCGGCACTTACACATAATTGCCACCCTATTCATTAATACGCCTCATGATTTTATTTAATACCCATCTTTTAAATAAGGTAATCAGATTTTCGTTATTTGTTTATGTAGGAAAGAGAAAGACACCGGCCATAATGACCTAGATTCTGAGCCTAAATAATTGCACTTAATGCAATTATTAATTCCCTAGTTACTCTAATTAGGTGTAGACGAGGATGGAGTTTTATTCCTTTCCTTAATTATAAACTTTCCATATTCTCGTGCACATTTAATTAAGGTAGGTTATTAATCATAAATTAGCGAGAATCTTGTAGTTAATTAGAGAAGATACCCTTGCCTTTCCATTTACTCGAAGAAACCCCCCTATTTCCTCATTCAACCGCCATTAAACTCCCTTAATTACCCACCTACATTAAATACCATAGGGGAGTGAAAAGGCGCCTGCTTGATTCCCTCCACATTAATCCAATCGGTTACATGCATTTAGTGGGCGTACCAATCAGCTTGAAACATTCCACCTGAGGCACTTAATTCCCCGGAACCGTGCCTGACATCAACTATATATATTCCTTCCTTAATTACCTTGTATTTATGGTAAAACCCTAGGGAGATTTGTGTGAATGCATGGCTAAAAGTGGCGCCACCTTCCATCAGAAAATTTAAGTAGCCACCCTGCATTAATTGCATGGCATTACCGAAAACAATCAATCATTCACATTATTTTGTTCCTAATAACCATGTTTTAAATTGCTTAAAATCGAGGGGCCTCTCCTGCCTCATTTAAACCATCATTAAAGTTACCTAATTTACCTCTTAACCGCATTTAACCTCATGAGAAAAACAAAGGAAAAACCTACTCAACTTCCTTCTGGAGTTGACCTAGCTGCCAGCCTGCACTTAATGTACAGCCAAAAACTTAGCATCATATTTATGGAAATTATGCTCCATTAATTGCATGCAATTATTTCCTGTTTTATGGCACTGGCCACACGTCCAAGGCAGAGAGAAAGGCACCACCTTTTCACTAACCACTCAAAATAACATCACCCTTTTCAATTTGTGGGACACAAAGGGTTTGAACCTGTTTCCCTCCACAACAAACCCTAGCCGCCAACGTGCATTAATTACCCACTCTTACCTAGGTCAAACCTCCATTTCAGTTACTCCATCATGATGAATGGCGTGTGGAGATGTGTGGATCACCTACGGCTTGCTTCTTTTACACACTGTGCATTGAATGCTCTTGAGAATGCGCATCACCTGCACCTGGACACCATGAGACGTGACTATTCAAGTGAGAAGGCGAAAGGGTGTGTCACTTCGCCTAACCTAACCCTAAAACCCTTCTTGTGCAACTCACCGCCAGCCTTTGGAAGATGAATGGGCAAAGCTTTAAGCCACACTATATAAGAACGCCTTCTAATCCTCACGCGCCCTTTTTCCCTTATTTTCAAAAACACTCTCAACCTCACCACTTCTCTTC